ATTACAAATGCAATTGGCATGGGGGCGGGATTTTTAGTCCCAATAAGTATTCAAAATGACGTTTCAATACAGTGGACTTCTGGTCCTAAAAATTAATCCTGTTTATGTTTAAATGGGTCATTTATCGTCCTCGATATATTGGACAGCAATTAATATACCAAAAGAACGAAGTATATATATAAGGTATTTAGGACATTTTACATACCATCTCTAGGCATGTACATATTTTGTCATGTTTCATGCATGTGATAATACATCTTTAAATTTTTTAGAAGGAAAATGCTTAAATCAGGGACGGAGCCAAAGGGGGGCCTCACCCCACCCCCACCCCCACCCCATATATAGTCTTTGTATGTATATATGTATATATGTATATTTAGTACAGGTTTTAGTATTAGTATAAAAAAAATATAAAATGTTAATAAGAGTGAGTTAGATCAGGTGGTAATGTACATATTTAGCAATAATAATGAGGTCAAGGGTTCAAATTTTAGCATCAACATAGTTTTACAATTCATTAATTATATTTCATATTTTGTTATGAATATTTTTATAAATTTTCGATGTGTTTTATTTTTCGTCCATATCCAACAATATCTACAACTATATTTCTTAAGTAATTTATTTATTTATTTTTAAATTATCTCTTTTGTTTTAATGTTTCACCTTTACTAAAAAAAATTTCTGAATCCGTCTATACTGTTTCGCCCCCCCCCCCCCCCAACAAAATTTCTGGCTTCGTCCCTGGCTTAAATAATTATTGTTAGGAATAAAGTGTAATGGTTTTGATATGCCAAATATGTATTTGTAGATCCCCTAATTTTATTTCATAGGTTTAGTAGAGTCTAAGACCATGATCGGGAAATTATTTAAGTTGCAAAAGAGAAAAACAGAGGAAGATGCATGAAAATAGAAGAAGAAGATATAAAGCCTAAAATCAAGAATTTGTCTGGAGAAAATGACAAATAGAAGAAGAAGTTGAATGATATGAAAATCACGTCAATGCTACAATAAGATATCCCAGAAGAATTTTCATGAAAGAAAATTAAGATTGGAAGATTGCATGAATTTGACTTGAAGATGAAGCATCTATGGAAAGAAAGGAGTACATCAAAGATGATTGGAGATTTAATCAATAAGCTGTATGGACGAAGTGGAAGATGCTTGATATGTTATGCGAAATGGCTCAAGTTTGAAACTCACCATCAATAATTTTACAAGGTAAAATTTGAGAAGCCAAATCTAATTAAGTCTGATGGAGTTGGGCGCCCAATTACAAGTGGAAATTGGGAAGCACAAGTGGAAATTGGGAAGCAATTGCACTTGGGAGCCAATTCAAAGGAATTGGGCTCCGATTTCGAGATTGAAATTGGGAGCAAGTTTCACATGGAATCAATTCAAGTTGGGAACCAATTGAGATTGTAGTATGGGATGCAATTTCAAAATGGGGACCAATTAAAAGAGCCAATTTCATAGGAGCTAGTTTCAGAGAGATTGAAATTGGGAGCAAGTTTCACATGGAATCAATTCAAGTTGGGAACCAATTGAGATTGTAGTATGGGATGCAATTTCAAAATGGGGAACCAATTGAGATTGTAGTATGGGATGCAATTTCAAAATGGGGAACCAATTGAGATTGTAGTATGGGATGCAATTTCAAAATGGGGAACCAATTGAGATTGTAGTATGGGATGCAATTTCAAAATGGGGACCAATAATTAAAAGAAGACATTGAGGAGCAATTGAATTAAGATGAAATTCAATACTAGGAGAAGTCTGGGAGCCAATTTCGAATTTGAATTGGGAGCCGATTTCATAGGAGCTAGTTTCAGAGAAATTGAAATTGGGAGCAAGTTTCACATGGAATCAATTCAAGTTGGGAACCAATTGAGATTGTAGTATGGGATGCAATTTCAAAATGGGGACCAATTAAAAGAGCCGATTTCATAGGAGCTAGTTTCAGAGAGATTGAAATTGGGAGCAAGTTTCACATGGAATCAATTCAAGTTGGGAACCAATTGAGATTGTAGTATGGGATGCAATTTCAAAATGGGGAACCAATTGAGATTGTTGTATGGGATGCAATTTCAAAATGGGGACCAATTAAAAGAAGACATTGAGGAGCAATTGAATTGAGATGAAATTCAATACCAGGAGAAGTCTGGGAGCCAATTTCGAAGTCAAAGTCAACACAAGAAGTCTGGGAGCCAATTTCGAAGTCAAAGTCAACACAATTCAAAATTGGAAGTAATTGAAGTCTGGGAGCCAATTTTGAAGTCAAAGTCAACACAATTCAAAATTGGATGTAATTGAAGCATCAAGAGAAGTTTGGGAGCCAATTGCAAGTCAAAGTCAATTGGGAGCCAATTACAATGGAGAAATTCAAATTGGGTGCCAATTAAGCCAATTACAATGGAGAAATTCAAATTGGGTGCCAATTACAAGTCAATTGAAATTGGGTGTCAATTACAAAGGAGAAATTCAAATTGGGAGGAAGTTCAAAGCCAGTTTGAAGTTTGAGAACACCCAGACGTGAGAATGAAGAAGATGAAGTTGAACTTACAGTAAAAATATTCTCACAAGGAAAAATACTAGTTTAACTAGTATGGGATTAAATTGAAGAATATTTTTAAATCTCAAAGATACAAGGACCACTTCAGAGCTGATCAGAGAAGCCATTCTACACCAAAACAGAGGCCCAGATATTCCCACTCAACGTAAAACCAGAGGAATATCAGATGAAATTTGGGAACTCATTTACATGGAGTTGAAGCTCTACCAACGGCTATCTTATCTCTTCTGACACTTTGCAGAAGATAAGATAAGATCTCTGACAAAAGATACAATATTTCAAAAATGATATCGTCTCTTTCCAACGGACAGATTCTCATTACCAGCTATAAAATGATGAATATATGAAGACTCGAAGATCAGGGGGAACGAACAGAGCAGTGAACACGAAAAAGAGCTAAATAGAGCAAAGAGCAAAAATCTCATTTGGTACAGAGCATACCAAAAATCTTCAAGTGAGAAGTGAGAAAAGAAAAAGAACTCAGAGAGCTACAAAAGAAAAATATTCTTAGAGTTCTTAAACAGAGCATAAATATCAAGTGCTTTACTTGATACACTCAAAGAGAGAAAACACTCAAAGCGTTCAAGAGAAATCATTCCAGAGTGTTTCATCTTCATCAAAGAGACCTGCACATCATTGAAGATCAACTACAGAGTCTCAGAAGTTGGAAGCAAGACAACACTTGTTTTGGAGCAAAACAAGAGAAGGGAGGAAAGTAGCACGGAGCTGTGAAATCCTGGATTGTCACACGGAGCTGTGAGATCCGAAGCAGCAGTGTCGGAGGCACTGGGCGTGATTAGTGCGGGCTTTGTGATCAAAGCACTAGATCACGGGATACGTTTCTACCGGAGTGTGGAAGACGGGGGGGGGGGGGGGGGGGAAGTAACGCGGAGTCGTGAAATCCTGGGATAGTAGCGCGGCGACGTGAAACTCGAAGCAGTAGTGTGGTGTCACTGGGCGTGATTAGTGCGGGCTTTGTGATCAAAGCACTAGATCACGGAAATTCATTGTATCTTAGAACCAAGAAGTGGTAGATATAGTGAATTGCTCTTGGAGAGAAGAGCAAGTGGAGTAGGAGGATTACACCACCTCGCGAACCACTATAATTGTCTTGTGTTCTTTACTGCTTTCTTTACTTACTGCTCTTTACTTAATTGCTCTACACGAGATATACTGCTCACACAATCTCACACACACTTTATCTTTATTTAATTCCGCTGTGCACCATACTCTAACAATCTAGTTAAGAGTTTTGGTTTATCTCTGGCTTAGCAATTGTTGTGCTGTGCGAAAAAGTTTGAAAGTCTATTCACCCCCCCCCCCCCCCCTCTAGACTTTCACCTTACCTCTTTTGGGACCAACAATTATTGACTATAAAAGAGACATATTATTTTTACACTCTTCACGTTGTGATTTTTGCTTACATTTCGAGAATTTAAATCCATCTGGGATTTTTTTAAAACAAGTATTTATAGGCAACCCATATAAATATGTGGTGACTGTGTTATTAGCTATGCTGCTAGTTTATTAAATAGCGGAACATAATATCATGGAAAGATATCTATTTTATTATGATCAACTAGTACTCCACCCGTGCGTTGCACGGTATGAAAATAAATAAAGAAATTCATAAATAGTTAAATAATATATATACACACACACACACACACACACACATAGACATGTATATAGTTACACATAATTGTACATATACGATTGCCAAAATAGTAAATAATTACTAAGATCACCAAAATAACATGCAATTTATAACAAAGATTTAATAATATGTAGTTGTTATAAATTATTAAACGCTTCTTTGTACACAACATTCATCGTTGAAGAAGCACACTTTTCATCTTCGTTGCAAATGAGTAGCTTAAGCCCTCTTGGTGAACTGACTCTAGACAATGCAACATATAGCTGGCCATGTACAAAAACAGGTTTTCTCAGAAGTAGGCCAACAGTAGAAAGCGTTTGTCCTTGACTTTTATTTATTGTCATTGCATAGGACAGCATAAGCGGGAACTGCCTCCTTTGAAATTTGAAGGGCAATGTACTGTCAGATGGTGTTAGGGACAGACGCGGGATCAGAACTTTGGAGCCTGCTGCATTGCCAACTAAGAGCTTTGCTTCAACAACATGGTCTGCTAATCTTGTAATAATTAACCGTGTACCATTACACAACCCAGCTGAAGGGTCAATATTTCGCAACAACATAGCAGGAGACCCAATCTTCAATGTTAAGCAATGATTTGGTAACCAAGAACATTTTAGCCCGTTCAATAACTCCGGAGTGTGTAACCCAGCCACAACATCAGAGGTACTCTCAGTGGTCCTACACTCGGCAACATTCAAGTTGGTCATGTACGCATTAACTTCGTCTACAACTTCAAGAGTTGGTGCCAAAATTGTGCGACTAATTAAATAATCAGCTGTCATGTTGTTGTTCTCGAAACATAGGAAATGTACTTTCCACAATTCCTCGGATTGGATCACCATCTGTATGTAACAAATTCTCATGGGGAATGGGAACCTCCATGTCACCATCATTTGGTCCACCAGCTTCACCATCACCGATTGAAGCAATCCAATTAGCAAAAGTAGATAACTCTTGCCTTTCATCATCAGTACCAACACTCTGCAATCTCAAATTCTGTGTCAATTTCAAAACCGTACAATGAGCCCACAAATACGAAGAATTAATAGCAGCACCAACAATATCCTGTCTACCACCCCTTGGTATCACTGGCAATATTTGGCGAAAATCACCTCCTAGTACAACAGTCTTCCCTCCAAATGGTAAATTAGGACACAATGGATTTGTAAATCGTAACAAATCTCGCATCGTTCTATCTAATGCTTCAAAACAGTGTTTATGAATCATAGGAGCTTCATCCCAAATAATTAAACTACATTTGATGATCAGTTCAGCTAAATCACTCCCTTGTGATATATTACACGTGGAATCCTCATTCACAATTATCGGTATTGCAAATCGTGAATGCGTAGTGCGCCCTCCAGTCATTAATAATGATGCAATACCACTGGATGCCACATTTAGAACTATCTTGCGTTGTGATCGAAGTGCAGCCGACAAAGTGCGCCACACAAATGTCTCCCCAGTACCTCCATAACCGTAAACAAAAAACAAACCACCTGTTGTACCAAAAACAGCTCCGATAACTGTGTCGTAAACATCTCTCTGCTCGGTAGTTAGCTTTGCTACCATGTCATCATGTTCATTGCTCAGCAATGCACAATCATATGCCAATTCTTCTAACAATAATCGATTATGAGAATTAGCCAAGCTAGACAATTCAGGAACGGGCATACACGGGTAATCACCCAAACTCTTACTCCATGTCGACAAAAGTTTCTCTAATTCAAGCAAACCATACTCCTTCTTCACATCGTCTGATAATAATAAATCTATATATAATTTTGAAACTAATATTAATGTTTAGTAGTATAAAATGTTATAATCAATAACTATATCATACAATAGATACTTTAATTAGGCATTTCGTGAATACAAATTTACCTGGATTTTGTAACTCTCGTCGCTGATTGAACTCTGCATCATCACACAAAAGTGGCCAAACAACATCCCAAATTTTTTCAGGTTGGCATAAACAATTAGACGTTAACAAAGTCACGAATAAACGGCGAAGAGCTGAGGCAATGGACCAATGGCTTGCTTCAAGTATTGCATCAACATATTCCTTCTCATCACAAATCAAACCACGAGCATAACACGCATCACGGAAACATGAATATTGAATCCCATCAACATTGCGAATCTCTTCAAAAGATATTGGACCACGAACTAAATTCAATAAACACCTAAGATAGAAGATCTCACCAGTACCAGGTGGCACATAAAACATACGGCCTATAGCAAAACCACGTCTTCTTGGTTGCCATTCACGTTCTTTTCTTTTCCACACAAAACAATGAGGCATTTCTCTATAGGTCAATTCCCTAGCTCGGGGATACCTCTTATTAGCTTCAAACCATGCTAAAAACATACTACTCTTAATTGTTTGTCTTTCAAGCACATTCTCAATAGATAAGTCAATCATAAAAAACAATGCTTTGTTCATTTGGCAGATGGAAGCTTAACCGTTCTACAGAGGGATTACGGAACTGGATGTCATAGCTGAACAAACGCCACACAGCTTCACACGGAGAAATATATCGGCAATCATAATACATACTAATCTCATCAATAACTTCGCTACTATCTTCAGAATTAGTGCTCTTATAAAACTGTGCAGTAACTCGGTCATTGCCTTTGTTGACATATTTAAACAAATATTTTATTGACTGAGATTGACTACACCACTCAAAATTAATGTGTGCTCTATACTTCAGCAGCAAATATCTATTGTGGGGCACAACAAATCTATTATCTAGCTCAACACCACTTTTCAGAATTGTCCTGCCATCATCCTTACGCCTATAAATAGGGTAACCACTGGAATCAATAACGGAAGATTCTATAAATTTCTTTAGGAAGTGTTTTGAACAACGGCCCTTAACCATGCACGGAGATTTTTTTTTGGCAACACCACATGGACCGTGTATCATAAACTCCTCAACAGCTTGGTAATATTCTAAATCATCATCCATACTTGGATCTCAGCTGAAATAATGGAATCGATATCATCACTGAGCGCGTTAGCATCAACACGATCAAGGAACAATAGTATGTGTGCATGTGGTAACCCGCGCTTCTGAAATTCAACAGTATAAATCACTGCAAACAAAAGCGGAAAGATAAGAAAGTGAATAAAAAAGTTAATACATCGCTAGCGGATTGTAGATTACAGACCTGCCAAAATTTTACCGAAAACAGTTCCCGAACGAAGCTCTCTTATTAAGCAATCCAATTTCATTTTAAAAACGCGGCACAAAATATCGGGCCG